AGAGAGAAAGAAATAAAGAGAGATAGAGAGAGAGGGAGAGAGAGAAAGAGAGAGAGAAAGAGAGGGGGGGTATTATATACCTTGTAATGCACAGGCATAAGGAAAATGATGTAATGGTTACATGTACCAAAATAAATAAAAATGTATTTTTCAGTATATTAAGCAGATATAAGCAGATGCTCTTTCTCGTTGTCTGAGACTGTCGGGGCCAGGCGCGGATCCAGGATTTCTTAGGGGAGGGGGCCCAACTTTTTTTTTTTTGTGGCTCCCGAAAATTTGAAAATCTGAATATTCGTCTTGCTATGAAAAACAAAATATATTCATATTTTACATTTAAATCCTTGGTATGTATTATGACAAAGAAAATGCTATAATAATGACACAAATTGCACGTTTTTGTAACTTATCATGTTATCATTGAAATAGCTCCATTGTTCTGTATAAATTTTATTAGACTCAATAATATTGACTTTCATCCTGTTATATATGATACATTTAAACTTTGAATATGTATTTTGGATGGATCAAATGCTACATAACATACCAATGAAATATTCTGTACAGCATCTAGTCTTTATACTTTACACATAGACATTGCAGTCGGATGAATACAACAACAATTAATCTAAATAATTCATGGGTGTTATTTTGTTGTACATATAATAATAATAATAATAATAATAATAGTGTAAACTTATAGAGCGCACACACCGTCCATGGACGCTCATGGCGCTAGCTCAGCAACAGTTCTCTTTGATACAGGAAAAGTAAATAATTTTACAATTTTTTTTTTTTGAAATATTTTTTGTTATGACCCATTTCGTTCCTCAGCTCTGCCCGATGGGGCCCGGTGCCCTCCAGCTGCTCCGTTCACTGACAATTTAAGGGACTAGCCCAGTCAGCACATTATTCACAGAAGCTCTAGCATCTAGGCCAACAGGCCCCACACGGGCAGCCAATGAGACTAAAGGGTGACAACTAATTCATTTCATATATATATACAAATAACATGTCCATTATGAATTTAGTAAAATAAACTTATTCAACTTAAGGAAATACTAGGTTACAGATGGAATAGGTAAGTCTTAAGACGAGTTTTAAAGGTGGAGTATGTTGCAATACAGCGAAGTGATGAGGGAAGCTTATTCCATAATTTGGCTGCTGCATGCGAAAAAGCATGGTCTCCCCACGAATTATGAGTACGGGGAATTTGCAGCAAATTATCAATTCCAGATCTTAAGGTACGAGTTGGATTGTAGGAGTGTAGTGAGTCTTTAATGTATTGTGGCGAAATTCCACGGAGAGCCCGATAAACAAGTAACATATATTGTAATGAGACATGTTTTTCAAGTTTTTGGTTTGATGGTTTTGTTTCTTGATCTATCAATAGACTTCATATACGTAAATAGCATGTCAATAGCTGCATTATGATTAGAATTCGGTAGGATTTAAATGTGTTGATTTCGCAGGTTGCTATTTATAAGACTTGTCGATATTTAGATGGATTTTGGTTGAATTGAAAAGTTTTTACGTTATTGCTATCCACACAAGTATACATTAAATGTAAATAGCTATATGTTGTACTAGTATTTGTTACATTCGTTCACATGTTCTTTATTATATACTATGTTTATCTATTCTATCTTAAATAGATGGAAAATTTATAATATTAAAATAAGTTTCAATTAAGGTTTTTGTCAGTTTTTTAATGCTAGATACGATACAATATGCACCGTTACAAAATGTGAATAGCTGCTGCATCGTACTAGTAAATTTAAGATTCGTTCATATTTGTCCTTATCATATATTATGTTCATCAATTCTATCTATGATAGAAGAAAAAAAGGTTTAATATTCAAAAACGTTTCAATTAAGGTTTTCGTCAGTTTTTTAATTCAAGATACGATACAATATGCACCGTCACAAAATGTAAATAGCTGCATTGTAAAAGTATTTCTAAAATTGATTCATTTTCTCTTCTCATTAGATATTTTGTTAATCTATTTTATCTTTGGTAAAACAAATGTTATAAAATCAAGTAAGTTCCACTGCTTTGTAAATTGTGATATGCCAAAAGATTATACACAATATGTGCTCTCATGCAAAGCTGCGTGCACTCAGTAAGAATCAAATTGGTTGATTTCTGTTAAATTGTGTAACATAAGTTTATGGTTATATATTCTGCGTACTTGCCCGAAAATGATCGTGAACCTCTTTACGTGGATATCATGTGGTACGGTGGTTCCTAGACTCTCATAGGTCAGTCCAAGGGTAAAGGGTTCGAATCCCGGCTCCAGTCTGTTGCTTGAATAATTTCGCGATGAACCTCATGCGCAGGCTCTCTACTTTGGAACCAGTGCGATAATTTTGTTTCTTTACATAAATTACCCTTCCTTTTAGTCATAGACATATCAAGGTTTTTTTTTATTTATTGTTGAAAAATATTGATAAAATTAATTGTCATATGTGGTATAGGACACATTGCACTGAATCGACCAATGCATGTAAATCGTTTTCCTTTTCTCACAATATTACTAAAAGGAGTCCGTGGAAGAAAAAACATTCTCTCGCATCACTTAAATAATTTGTAATTTCTTTCCCAACTTGTATTTGAAACTGTTATTTTGATAACTCGTCCACTGTATTTTATTATTAGGATACTAAGTTTTGATATCATTTTTGGGATTAACCATTAAATATATAAAACTGTTTTCTGTAATAAAAACTATACTGGTAGACAGGATTCTGAGGATACTGATTTAGATATTCATTGTGATCTTATTTGTGTATTTGTCAACATTATACCGAAATCACAACATATGCGATAAAGAGCTAGTACCAACAAAAATTAGAATAGAGAGGGGATGGATGGGGTGAATGTGAGAGAGAGAGAGTGATTGAGGGAGAGACAGAAGAGAGAGGGGGAAATAGTGTGTGTGTGTGTGTGTGTGTGTGTGTGCGTGAGAGAGATAGAGAGAGAGAGAGAGATAGAGAGAGAGAGAGAGAGAGAGGGGAAGAGGGAGAGAGAGAGAGAGAGAGAGAGACTATGCGCTATACAAGAACGGACTATATAGTATTAGATATGTTTCACTAAAGTGAGCAAGAAAGGAGAAAGATGGAGAAAGAGAGAGAGAAAGAAATAAAGAGAGATAGAGAGAGAGGGAGAGAGAGAAAGAGAGAGAGAAAGAGAGGGGGGGGTATTATATACCTTGTAATGCACAGGCATAAGGAAAATGATGTAATGGTTACATGTACCAAAATAAATAAAAATGTATTTTTCAGTATATTAAGCAGATATAAGCAGATGCTCTTTCTCGTTGTCTGAGACTGTCGGGGCCAGGCGCGGATCCAGGATTTCTTAGGGGAGGGGGCCCAACTTTTTTTTTTTTTGGCTCCCGAAAATTTGAAAATCGCGCCGGCCGAAAAGTCGCTCAGTGGGGGGGGGGGGGGGGGGTGTACAGAGCACAATTTTTTTTTTTTTTTTTTTTTGCTCCCGAAAATTTGAAAAACGCGCCGGCCAAAAATTCGCTCAGTGGGGGAGGGGGGGGGGGGGGGGGGGGGGGGGGGGGGGGGGGGGTTAGTGATCACATTTTTTTTTTTTTTTGATCCTCAAAAAAATTTCAATTTGCACCCCCCCCCCCCCCCCCCCCCCCCCCTTGAGCGCCAGGGGGGGGGGGCCCAACCCCCCAAAAAGGTAAAAAATCACGTGATTTTACATGATTTTTTTTCTCAAGGGGGAGGGGGGGGGGGGGCCCGGGCCCCCCGGCCCCCCCCCCCCCCCTGGATCCGCCACTGGTCGGGGCCAGCTGTGATTATGGGGAAATTCCATCACTGAGATTGACTGGCCAGGAGTGATCTACCGAAACCAGTTTAACTTACAAGAAGTGTGTTATTGATGCTCATCTACTACCGTTACAGCTCATTTTATGTATGTCATTACCAAAGAAAAAAAGGGTCAGTCTATCACTCACTAATCTGACGGTGAAGTCTAAACAATTAAACGGGTTTCCTTGCATAATTTGAATGAGGATACTGCTACCGTTATAATTTCACAGATAGGACATACGTGACATATTCATATTTCCTGCAAAGTTCTACATAATTTGATGTTAGCTGCAAATTCGACATAATACCTTTGAAGGTACTATTTCCCTTTTGCAGGCCCCAAAAATGAAAAGGTTAAATTCCAATGGCATTTGAAGGATAATACTAATTTAGAACTCCCCTTAAAAAAATGGGGCTCGAAAATGTCTTTAAGTAGGAAAATAACGACTATTAGTTGTCAAGTCGACTAAGAAGCTATGGAGCCAATAAGTAGTAGTCTTGATTTTCAGACCATTGTACCGCATGGTCGTACGTTTTATGCCGCGCAACTTTCAATCAGTTTAATTTTGGCCATTACAAGAAGTGGGTTATTGATGTAGACAAATCCTTTACAGCTCATTTTATGTATGTTATTACCAAAGAAGAAGAAAAAGCCAGTCAGTCACTCAATACTGACAATAGTGTCTGACAGTGAGTCTAGCAAGTAAACGGGTTTCCTTGCATAATTTGAATATTAGGACACTGCTAACGTTTAAATTTCACAGATAGAACATGCATGACATATTCATAATTCCTGCAAAGTTCTACAGAATTCGAGGTTCGCTGCAAAAGGGACATATCTTTAAGGGAGAGAAAATTATCAATTTAAATTATTTGTATAAGCACCAAGTATTACAAAATAACCCCTTAAAAGCACAAACAGCAGAATACATTGATGTTTTATGAAAATTATGTTAAGTTTCGCTCATTATGATTTCTGTGTGAAATATTTCATGTCAATCTTTTTACAAAGTGCAGCAGGGGTTATCTTGTGTCAATAAACTTTTGTCACTAATTTCGCATCATGTGACAATGGTGCATATTTGTTCCCTCTAGTTGTCTGTTTCTGCACGACATGCAAGCATGCGTGAAAAGTATTGGCTTAATTTGTAAAGGCAATCGCAGTGTCATGTTCGGTTTAGTTTGGATGGTATACATTCATAGGCCTACGTTAGACGCCATCTTAAGTTGACTTGAACAAAGTGCTTGCAAATCACCATTACATTATCGAGTTGTTCTTCTTTAGGCGAAGTTTAAACATCAAAGGACAACCAATCGAGGAGGTGAACTTTCTTCAGGATTTCAAAATACGAAGGTAAGAATATCAACTTAGATGTGTGGGGAGTGAGCTGGGTTGTTTTGATAGGGGCGTGGACAATATGCCGTAAACACGGAAGTGAAAGAAACATTGATGAAACGGTTATGAAACGAGCATAAAACGAGTTTGAAATGAGAATGAAATGAATATGCAACGAGTTTGAGAATAACTATAGATCGAGAGACAAAATGGGAAAAAAACAATGAGCTTGGGAACATTATATAGCATCATTAGAAAGAGAGAACTAAAGACAACAAAATTCGTTTTGCTAATGTGATTTTATTTCTAAATCTCTCTCTCTCTTTAATCTCTCGCAGTCTCTTTCTTTCCCACAAACTTTTTCTTCTGTATATCCCGAGTTATTACGATTTCTGCCGGGCAACCTCTGGGACTGCCATATTGGGCAAATTCAAAATGCGCCCGCCATCTGAGTTAAAAGGTCAAGTGTAGTTATGAAAGGAAATGGGCTAGTTTGATAAAAGTTTATATATTTATGGGGTTTTCAGGGTCTGCGAATCTGATTTTGATGTTCTTTCATCGATTTGAGGTCTCCTCGGGGCTGCCATACTGGTTATATTGGTCAAATCCAAAACGGCCGCCATCTGCCTAGGTCAATAGTACTCTGCAAAAACAAGAGTGTTAAATTCAACAATTCAATTCCACTCTTGGTGTTAATATTTGACAACTCCTACTGGTGTAGATTAACACCAATATATGGAATCATAACAAATTCAATTCCACTTTTGGTGTTTATATTCTTGTTGATCCATTGGAGATTTTTCTATGGGTTTCTAATGGTCCCACATTCCATATTCCCTATCATCGACCAGGGTACAAGAGCCAGTGGTAAACTGATTATTCATAATCAATGTTGGCAACTGTCAACCAATGGGTATATTCTAATCTCCATTGCATTAACTCCATCACATACATCATTTGAAGTAAATTCAAGATTAACGTACAGGCTGGTACACGAATATATAATAAACATGCATGCTGTTTCTTGGTTAGTAATCATTATAATCAATATACATATTGCTAAAACGTTAATGTAATTGTAACAAGATCGGACAAATAATCTATTGGTCAATAATTGCCAAAGGAAAATACAAATCACAAAATTGATGTGCATTGTCATAATTTGCTTAACAAATCATGATAAATGTATGTTTCTGTGAACACGTGAAAACTTATTCGACCAATCAACCGCCCTAAACGAAATCACGTGATGATACTTTTAACACCGAGCATAAAACTACACACCTTTATAATCAATACGAATTTTGTCAAAAAAAATGCAATACCATACTGATGTAAGAATTTCTAGACCCTGGTTTTTAAAGTGAAGTTCCAAAAGGAAAAGGGCTAGAAGGATAACATATTATATATTTATGGGGTTTTCGGGGTCAGAGAATCAGATTATCATGTTCTTTTTAACCATTTCGAGGTCTCCTTGAGGCTGTCATGCTGCTCATATTGGTCAAATCCGAAATGGCTGCCACCTCTGAGTAAAAGGACAAGTGTAGTTCCAAAAGGAAAAGGGCTAGTATGATAAAAGTTGATATATTAAGGGTTTTTCAGACCTCACACGCCCAGTCTACAAGCAGGCAAAAATGCTATAGCAGTCTCAGAGGGCGTCCTTCTTTGCGTCCGGCAGAAATCGTAATAGCATACCTCTGGGTCAAATTTGGTGCTTTTAGAAGAATTTGCATCAAACAACCCCTACTACTGGTAGTAGTCTCAATATCATTATTATTTGTGTTCTACAGGTCAACATTCTGATCAGTATGGCGGCTAACTTCAGCTCTGCAGAAGACATCTGTGAAGGAGAGAACTGTGAGGCAATCACAGATGTGACGTACTACGTGAAGGAGAAGAAGAAGCTCTGCGATAACTGCGCCTCCACAGGGGGATGCATCGGTAAAGCAAGAAAGGGTGGGACCAATCTATATTGTGTGAAGCATGATGAAGAAATCAAATTGTATTGTAAAAAACATGGTGTAGCACTGTGTTATTCATGCGCACATATAGATCATCATGATCAGTGTTGCGTGCGGCAGGATATCGAGGGCGCGATCATGGAAAGTAAAGCGAGTCTAACCACTCTGAAAGAAAAGGCAAAAGACAAATTAAAGCTTTGTCAAGTTTATGGAGATCAGATTCAACAGTGTAGGAAAGACACCGACACCCATCTACAAGCTTTGAGAATTGAAGTTGATTCGGTAATCAATGAGGCGATCCAAACAGACAAGGGCATAGAGAAGGAGGATGCTGCAAAGATCAATCAGGAGTTTAATGAGAAGAACAAACAACTTCGAGAGAAGATTCGAAAGAACGATGAGGAGAAAATGAAGCGACTTGAACTGAACCGTACAAATGCAGAGAAAAGACGAGAACCCATCGACAATAAACAGCATAGTCTTCAAACAGACATTCAAAACATCGCTAAAGAAAAGGAGAAAAAGATTGTAGAATTGGAGAAAACATGGCAAGATAACACAAAAACCACAAGGAATACAATAAAGACACTTGACACGGTACTCGAAGATGATAACAATGTCGCCAAAGATGGGCATCATGTGAAGACATCAGTAAGTGATGAACTTAAGAAGCCATTATCACTGAATGAAGGTGAGGTAAAACAAATCACTGGTACCATATCGGGTGTGAGGTTTGTGAAGGGTGCTGGGAGAGAGAAGTATGATGGGAGGATTGATAGGTTTGATGGGGAGTGGAAGCTCATTGATACAATCAATGTCAAAGATAAAATCACATTCCCGGTCATTGTAGGATGCATAGATGAATGCAATGTGATCATCTCAGACAGACTAAAGGGTAGCCATGTTTATACATACATTTTAGATATGACCACTAAACACAGTCAGAGGGTGTTAACCGGCAGTAATACATCAAATGTTACCTCCTGTGTATTGCTGAATGAAGGCGAGGTACTATGCAGTAGATACAGCAAGGGTTGTACAAGGGGTAGTTTGGCTGGATGCATAAGTGTGCATGACAGACGATTGAAGCTCATCGATTACGTCACAATAGCAAGAAACACAACGGATGATTTCACAGGGGTGGATGTAGCTGTTGACCAGGATGGGATGATCATCGCTGCTGAGTGGGGTCAGTCAAAGATATACGCCATCAACCCAGCTGATCGTAAGATCATGAAACCAATCACATGTAGAGAGAATATAATGTTGCGGGGTGTACTATCATCAAGTCACATAATCGCTCAACCCTACCCACGAGATAACAGACTGTTCATCATCGACAGGCAGGGTGCTCATAGGCCGGAAATCCTCCACAGTGGTGTAATCCTGAATGCCTGCATCGATCCTATGATAGACGACCTCTACGTCGTGACATCAGATGATGAGTACAAGACGTGTGTGATTGATCAGGTGATGAGTGGGGGTGGTGAGAAGAAGAGAAGAGTAGTGTCATTCCCTCTACCAACTAGACTGCATGATAGGAAGGGTCACCTTGTTTCATCTCAGGTGATGATGACATCATCAGGGAAACTGATTGCTAGCGATGGAGACAAAATTCTCGTATTCAAAAAGCTATTGATCGAGCCTATAAATTAAAGGCCCGTTCACAATGACGCGGTAAATAGGTTTTTGTTTCTTTTTACTTTTTTCTTGCGAGTTTATCTGTTTTACTTGTATTTCTTATTTTGCTTAAAGATGTAAATGTAATGCGCTTGACATGTATATATGTATCTTAATAACACAGATGACAGTTGCCATTCATTTACACATTTTTGTTTTTAAACTGCCGTGGTCTATCGCTTTATATCTGAACAAGTCATGAACGAATCCGTGTTGCTTTACGCTGGTTAAGTAGGCTTATACATTCTGAATGATGTATCATTTATCACGTGAGTCAGTTCCATGATCAGATCACTAATGAGTTTATGACGTGTTTTGTTTTGTATGACGGCTTGTCATGACAAAAACCAATGCTCGATTATTGATTGTTTGTCTGTTTTATTAGCTTTTGTTTTTGTAATCTATCATTAATTGTAAATAGCCACATAATACGTAGTATTCTAAGACTAATTTGTATGGATCTGTCGTGTTGCCAAAAAAAATATTAGTCATCGATATGTAGGGACTTTTTGACGAAACCAATGTTAAAACAATGACATAAATTGCACGTTGTTTGTTTGTATTATCTCATATCTGTAATATATCATGAAAATAGCTACATTATACTTGGTATTTGTACGAGTAAACTTTATTGATGATTCGTGCTAGAAACTTCATGTATGACATTTTTTTGACAAAACCATTCTAACACACATCGAAATTATTTGCATACGGTCTTTGTCATTATGGTTGTTGGTTTGTGTTTTTTGGTATTATTATTTTTTAATCTGTCATAATTTGTAAATAGCTACATACTGTTATTTTGACAAAAGAAATACTACGACAATGACAAAAATTGCACGTTATTGTTTGATTTGTTTGTTCGTATTAGCTTTTTTTCGGGTAATCTTTATTGAAAACAGCTACATTATACTAAATATGTCGAAGACTAAACTTTAAAATGAATATTCGTCTTGCTATGAACACTGAAATATATATTACACGTAAATCGTTTATATGTATTTAGACAAAGCAAATGCTATGATGATGACATAAATTGCACGTTCTTTTTAAATTGTAATACACTGTATATCAAATAATCATGGAAATAGCTCCATTGTGCTGTATAATTTACAAGATTCAATATTGTTGACTTTCATTTTGTTATTATATGATAAATTTAAACTTTGAATATGTATTTTGGATGGATCAAATGCTACATAATATACCAATGAAATATTCTGTACAGCATCTAGTCTGTATAATTTACCTATAGACATTGCAGTCGGATGGATACAACAAAAATTAATGTAAATTTCAAACTCGTGGATGTTTTTTTGTTGTACATATATTGTAATGAGACATGATTGTCGAGTTTTATGGTTTGATGGTTTTGTTTCTTGGTCTATCAATATACTTCATATACGCTAATATTATGTCAATAGCTGCATTATGATAAGAATTCGGTAGGATTTAAATGTGTTGATTTTGCGGGTTGCTATTTATAAGACATGTCGATATTTAGATGGATTTTGGTTGAATTGAAAAGTTTTTACGTTATTGCTATCCACACAATGATACATTAAATGTAAATATCTATACATTGCACTTGTATTTGTTACATTCGTTCACATGAATCTTATTAGATACTATGTTTATCTATTCTATCTTAAATAGAAGGGGAAAATGTTTAATATTAAATAATTTTCAATTAAGGTTTGTGTCAGTTTTGTAATCTGAGATACCATAACATATGCAATGTCATAACATGTAAATAGCTGCATCGTACTAGTATATCTAAGATTCGTTCATATTTGTTTTTATCATAAATTACGTTCATCTATTCTATCTATGATAGAAGGAAAAAAAGGTTTAATATTCAAGAACGTTTCAATTAAGGTTTTTGTCAGTTTTTTAATGCAAGATACCATACAATATGCACCGTCACACAATGTAAATAGCTGCATTGTACTAGTATTTCTAAGATTCGTTCATTTTTTATTTCTCATTAGACATTTTTTTAATCTATTTTTTTTATTTGGTAAAACAAATGCTATACAAATCAAGTTAGCTCCACTGCTTTGTAAATTTTGATATATCAAAAGATTATACACAATATGTGTTCTCATGCAAATCTGCACGTTGTAATACTCAAATATGTTGATTTCTCTAAAATTGTGTAACATAAGGTTATGTTTGTACATTCTGCATACATAATAATAAAATAATAATACTCAGTTTTTATATAGCGCAAATTACAATTAAGTCTCTAAGCCCGGTAATGATCTGGTATACCTCTTTACGACTCTCATAGCTCAGTCCAAAGGGTAGAGGGTTCGAATCCCAGCATGCTGAGGTCAAAAGATCTCTTGCATCACTCAAATATTTTGTTATTTCTTTCCGAAATTGTCTAGTATAAGTCTGTTTTCTGCTATACAAATGTTGTTGATTATTATTATCAGTATTTGTTTCTGTTATAAAGTTTATATTTTAATAACTCTTCCCCTGAATGTTATTATTATCTGTATTAATTAAACTTCATTGATGTACATCAATATTCTGTTAATAAACATATACATTAATTTTCAATGAAATGTAGCATGGTACGATGTTTTGATATAATTTTTTGTTATTAACCATGAAACATATAAGTCTGTTTTCTGTAATCAAATTATACTGGAAGACGGGACGCTAATTACGATTCAGATAATCATTGTGATCTTATTTGTGTATTTGTCAATATTCATTCCGAAATCACATAATTTATATGCGATAAAGAAGTAAAATAACAGAATGTAAACAAAACGAAAGAGAGAGAGGGGAGAGAAAGAGAGAGAGAGAGAGAGAGGGGGAGAGAGAGAAAAAAAGAGAGAGAGAGGGGGAAAAGAGAGAGGGGAAATAGAGAGAGAGAGAGAGAGAGAGAGAGGGGTCAAAAACTAAAGAAATCTGTTCAAAGAGAGAGGAGACGTTGTGAATAGAGAAAGATGTGTACAGATAGAGAGAGAGAGAGAGATAGAAAGAGAGAGGGAGAGAGACAATTACTAGAGAAAGAGTACGTACGGTAATTCCGTTTGGTCTTTATCTTTAACACCCTTCTGGCTCTCAACAGACTATAATGATAAATAAGAGAGGGTATAATGAAAGATAAGGCGGTTTTAAGGGAGAGAAAATGATCAGTTTCAATTACGTTTAAAAGCACCAAGTATTACGAAATCCCTCCTCACAAGGCATAAACAGCAGAATACATTGACATTTATATGAAAATTATCATAATGATGGTATATTATTGACTGTCTCGGCCTCAATACACACACACATCAATGACGTTTTGCATAATTATTATGAAACAGTGTATGCTGATACAGAATTCTCGGGCTGGTGTGGGGGCGTGGGAGGGGGTCCGAAATTCCGTAAAAATCACCCCCCCCCCCGTAAAATCATAGGGGCACCCCCTCCTCCACACACAAATACACACACACCCTTTCTCCAATTCGACTAGCCTTGTGAGTGAAGCAAATGCATTTCTTATGTGTGACGCTGAAATATTATTCACACATTTAATGTCGATCTATATTTACAAAGTGCCGCGGGGCTTATCTTTTGTCAGCACACCTTCGTCATTCACAATGGTACATATTTTTTTCCTCTTAGACTTGCCAATTATATATCTGCACTCCCTCCCACACACACACACACACACTTCTCCGCTTCGACTGGTCTTGTGAATGAAGCCAATAAAATCCTTATGTGTAACGCTGAAATATTATTCATACATTTCATATCAATCTATGTACAAAGTGCAACGGGACTTATCTTTTGTCAATACAACTTCATCATGACGACAATGGTACTAATTTGCCCCTCTTCTTTACCTGTTTCTGCACGACATATATGGTTTTATGGTTTTGTTTCTTGGTCTATCAGTAGATGTCATATGCGCTAATAACATATTTCCTGCAAAGTTCTACAGAATTTGATGTTAGCTGCAAATTCGACATAATACCTTTAAAGGTACTATGTCTCTTTTGCAGGTTAAATTCCAATGGCATTTGAAGGATAATACTAATTTAGAACTCCCCTTAAAAAAAATGGGGCTCGAAAATGTCTTTAAGTGGGAAAATAACGACTATTAGCTGTCAAATCGAATTTAGCTATAGAGCCAATAAGTAGTAGTCTTGATTTTCAGACCATTGTACCGCATGGTCGTACGTTTTATGCCGCGCAACTTTCAATCAGTTTAATTTTGGCCATTACAAGAAGTGGGTTATTGATGTAGACAAATCCTTTACAGCTCATTTTATGTATGTTATTACCAAAGAAGAAGAAAAAGCCAGTCAGTCACTCAATACTGACAATAGTGTCTGACAGTGAGTCTAGCAAGTAAACGGGTTTCCTTGCATAATTTGAATATTAGGACACTGCTAACGTTTAAATTTCACAGATAGGACACGCTGGCCCAGACATCTGGAACTCTCTGCCCATTGTAATAAGAAACCTTAGGACATTGTATTATTTTAAGAAGGCAGTTAAAACTATGTTATTGTCTAAGTATTGATCATGTCGTGTGTAATTCTACTGTATTCATGTTCGTGCGTAGGCTACATTGACTGTACATTCAACAATGATGTGTAATCGTCCATGACCTAGCATCGTTTTTCCATTCATGAATGAACCTGCATTCAATCAGCAGATGTATGAGATTTATTTTATTATTACCAACGCTCCTTCTCTCCCCTTTCCTTTTCTTTTCTGCAAGTCACTTTAAAAAAAAAAATTGTATTGTTGTATCTAAGTTGAGGGCTGCGGGCACGTCAAGCTACTTTGATTATTTATGTAGCCCTCCTGCATCTAATGTATGTTAATTATGCATTCAATATACTTCTTTAAATTCAATATATTTGTTTAATATCGTTTATTATCTGTATAAAATTATATGCACTTGAAATATTGTATCAAGCCATATTATGTTCATGAAAATGTATGATGAAAAAAAAAGAAAAGATGCAGAAACCAATAAATCAAATCAAATCAAATCAAATAAAAAAAAAAAAATATTCATAATTCCTGCAAAGTTCTACAGAATTTGAGGTTAGCTGCAAAAGGGACATATCTTTAAGGGAGGGAAAATGATCAATTTCAATTATTTGTATAAGCACCAAGTATTACAAAATAACCCGTTAAAAGCACAAACAGCAGAATACATTGATGTTTTATGAAAATTATGTTAAGTTTCGCTCATTATGATTTGTGTGTGACATATTTCATGTCAATCTGTTTACAAAGTGCAGCAGGGGTTATCTTGTGTCAATAAACTTTTGTCACTAATTTCGCATCATGTGACAATGGTGCATATTTGTTCCCTCTATTTGTCTGTTTTTGCACGACATGCAGGCATGCGTGAAAAGTATTGACTTAATGTGTAAAGGCAATCGCAGTGTCATGTTCGGTTTAGTTTGGATGGTATACATTCATAGGCCTACGTTAGACGCCATCTTAAGTTGACTTGAACAAAGTGCTTGCAAATCACCATTACATTATCGAGTTGTTCTTCTTTAGGCGAAGTTTAAACATCAAAGGACAACCAATCGAGGAGGTGAACTTTCTTCAGGATTTCAAAATACGAAGGTAAGAATATCAACTTAGATGTGTGGGGAGTGAGCTGGGTTGTTTTGATAGGGGCGTGGACAATATGCCGTAAACACGGAAGTGAAAGAAACATTGATGAAACGGTTATGAAACGAGCATAAAACGAGTTTGAAATGAGAATGAAATGAATATGCAACGAGTTTGAGAATAACTATAGATCGAGAGACAAAATGGGAAAAAAACAATGAGCTTGGGAACATTATATAGCATCATTAGAAAGAGAGAACTAAAGACAACAAAATTCGTTTTGCTCGTTCGTTCGTTCGTGTCTCCTTAGATCAAGATTACTGCAATCTTGATCTTCGGAGTAGTTGCTACAACCGGCCGTGTCAGACACGTTGCCCCGGGGTGCGAGATAGGACTCTTGTAGCGTGCCCCCATTTAAAACAGTTATACAGTTACAGTTAACAATACATTTAATTAATAGTATGAAACTATTAAAATTACTCTCATGTTACGGGAAAAAATATTGCATATACATATATTATGAATTGCGTTAACTACACTGGCGGGAACGTGCCCCTTTAACACCAAATTGCCGACAACTATGAAGCTCCCAACATGACAGAGATATGGACAACACACTTCCATCAAAAAGTCCCCCCCCCCCGCCCCCCCCCCCCTCACAACAAAAAGAAGGAGTGCGAAAAAAAAAAGAGTAGGGATGGAATTTAAAATTAAAAAAGAAGAAGATAAGACACTTCCCACACAATACCCCTTATCGGCAGCCTTGTTAATCAACATTTCACCAACTTTGTAGACTGCTGCCCCCTCCCCGTCCCCCATTTTACTAGTGTCCCAGCCCCTATTATTTAAATGCTTGGTCCGTTACGCCACTGGGTTGTCACATACACATTCGTTTTGCTAATGTGATTTTATTTCTAAATCTCTCTCTCTCTTTAATCTCTCGCAGTCTCTTTCTTTCCCACAAACTTTTTCTTCTGTATATCCCGAGTTATTACGATTTCTGCCGGGCAACCTCTGGGACTGCCATATTGGGCAAATTCAAAATGCGCCCGCCATCTGAGTTAAAAGGTCAAGTGTAGTTATGAAAGGAAATGGGCTAGTTTGATAAAAGTTTATATATTTATGGGGTTTTCAGGGTCTGCGAATCTGATTTTGATGTTCTTTCATCGATTTGAGGTCTCCTCGGGGCTGCCATACTGGTTATATTGGTCAAATCCAAAACGGCCGCCATCTGCCTAGGTCAATAGTACTCTGCAAAAACAAGAGTGTTAAATTCAACAATTCAATTCCACTCTTGGTGTTAATATTTGACAACTCCTACTGGTGTAGATTAACACCAATATATGGAATCATAACAAATTCAATTCCACTTTTGGTGTTTATATTCTTGTTGATCCATTGGAGATTTTTCTATGGGTTTCTAATGGTCCCACATTCCATATTCCCTATCATCGACCAGGGTACAAGAGCCAGTGGTAAACTGATTATTCATAATCAATGTTGGCAACTGTCAACCAATGGGTATATTCTAATCTCCATTGCATTAACTCCATCACATACATCATTTGAAGTAAATTCAAGATTAACGTACAGGCTGGTACACGAATATATAATAAACATGCATGCTGTTTCTTGGTTAGTTATCATTATAATCAATATACATATTGCTAAAACGTTAATGTAATTGTAACAAGATCGGACAAATAATCTATTGGTCAATAATTGCCAAAGGAAAATACAAATCACAAAATTGATGTGCATTGTCATAATTTGCTTAACAAATCATGATAAATGTATGTTTCTGTGAACACGTGAAAACTTATTCGACCAATCAACCGCCCTAAACGAAATCACGTGATGATACTTTTAACACCGAGCATAAAACTACACACCTTTATAATCAATACGAATTTTGTCAAAAAAATGCAATACCATACTGATGTAAGAATTTCTAGACCCTGGTTTTTAAAGTGAAGTTCCAAAAGGAAAAGGGCTAGAAGGATAACATATTATATATTTATGGGGTTTTCGGGGTCAGAGAATCAGATTATCATGTTCTTTTTAACCATTTCGAGGTCTCCTTGAGGCTGTCATGCTGCTCATATTGGTCAAATCCGAAATGGCTGCCACCTCTGAGTAAAAGGACAAGTGTAGTTCCAAAAGGAAAAGGGCTAGTATGATAAAAGTTGATATATTAAGGGGTTTTTCAGACCTCACACGCCCAGTCTACAAGCAGGCAAAAATGCTATAGCAGTCTCAGAGGGCGTCCTTCTTTGCGTCCGGCAGAAATCGTAATAGCATACCTCTGGGTCAAATTTGGTGCTTTTAGAAGAATTTGCATCAAACAACCCCTACTACTGGTAGTAGTCTCAATATCATTATTATTTGTGTTCTACAGGTCAACATTCTGATCAGTATGGCGGCTAACTTCAGCTCTGCAGAAGACATCTGTGAAGGAGAGAACTGTGAGGCAATCACAGATGTGACGTACTACGTGAAGGAGAAGAAGAAGCTCTGCGATAACTGCGCCTCCACAGGGGGATGCATCGGTAAAGCAAGAAAGGGTGGGACCAATCTATATTGTGTGAAGCATGATGAAGAAATCAAATTGTATTGTAAAAAACATGGTGTAGCACTGTGTTATTCATGCGCACATATAGATCATCATGATCAGTGTTGCGTGCGGCAGGATATCGAGGGCGCGATCATGGAAAGTAAAGCGAGTCTAACCACTCTGAAAGAAAAGGCAAAAGACAAATTAAAGCTTTGTCAAGTTTATGGAGATCAGATTCAACAGTGTAGGAAAGACACCGACACCCATCTACAAGCTTTGAGAATTGAAGTTGATTCGGTAATCAATGAGGCGATCCAAACAGACAAAGGCATAGAGAAGGAGGATGCTGCAAAGATCAATCAGGAGTTTAATGAGAAGAACAAACAACTTCGAGAGAAGATTCGAAAGAACGATGAGGAGAAAATGAAGCGACTTGAACTGAACCGTACAAATGCAGAGAAAAGACGAGAACCCATCGACAATAAACAGCATAGTCTTCAAACAGACATTCAAAACATCGCTAAAGAAAAGGAGAAAAAGATTGTAGAATTGGAGAAAACATGGCAAGATAACACAAAAACCACAAGGAATACAATAAAGACACTTGACACGGTACTCGAAGATGATAACAATGTCGCCAAAGATGGGCATCATGTGAAGACATCAGTAAGTGATGAACTTAAGAAGCCATTATCACTGAATGAAGGTGAGGTAAAACAAATCACTGGTACCATATCGGGTGTGAGGTTTGTGAAGGGTGCTGGGAGAGAGAAGTATGATGGGAGGATTGATAGGTTTGATGGGGAGTGGAAGCTCATCGATACAATCAATGTCAAAGATAAAATCACATTCCCGGTCATTGTAGGATGCATAGATGAATGCAATGTGATCATCTCAGACAGACTAAAGGGTAGCCATGTTTATACATACATTTTAGATATGACCACTAAACACAGTCAGAGGGTGTTAACCGGCAGTAATACATCAAATGTTACCTCCTGTGTATTGCTGAATGAAGGCGAGGTACTATGCGGTAGATACAGCAAGGGTTGTACAAGGGGTAGTTTGGCTGGATGCATCAGTGTGCATGACAGACGATTGAAGCTCATCGATTACGTCACAATAGCAAGAAACACAACGGATGATTTCACAGGGGTGGATGTAGCTGTTGACCAGGATGGGATGATCATCGCTGCTGAGTGGGGTCAGTCAAAGATATACGCCATCAACCCAGCTGATCGTAAGATCATGAAACCAATCACATGTAGAGAGAATATAATGTTGCGGGGTGTACTATCATCAAGTCACATAATCGCTCAACCCTACCCACGAGATAACAGACTGTTCATCATCGACAGGCAGGGTGCTCATAGGCCGGAAATCCTCCACAGTGGTGTAATCCTGAATGCCTGCATCGATCCTATGATAGACGACCTCTACGTCGTGACATCAGATGATGAGTACAAGACGTGTGTGATTGATCAGGTGATGAGTGGGGGTGGTGAGAAGAAGAGAAGAGTAGTGTCATTCCCTCTACCAACTAGACTGCATGATAGGAAGGGTCACCTTGTTTCATCTCAGGTGATGATGACATCATCAGGGAAACTGATTGCTAGCGATGGAGACAAAATTCTCGTATTCAAAAAGCTATTGATCGAGCCTATAAATTAAAGGCCCGTTCACAATGACGCGGTAAATAGGTTTTTGTTTCTTTTTACTTTTTTCTTGCGAGTTTATCTGTTTTACTTGTATTTCTTATTTTGCTTAAAGATGTAAATGTAATGCGCTTGACATGTATATATGTATCTTAATAACACAGATGACAGTTGCCATTCATTTACACATTTTTGTTTTTAAACTGCCGTGGTCTATCGCTTTATATCTGAACAAGTCATGAACGAATCCGTGTTGCTTTACGCTGGTTAAGTAGGCTTATACATTCTGAATGATGTATCATTTATCACGTGAGTCAGTTCCATGATCAGATCACTAATGAGTTTATGACGTGTTTTGTTTTGTATGACGGCTTGTCATGACAAAAACCAATGCTCGATTATTGATTGTTTGTCTGTTTTATTAGCTTTTGTTTTTGTAATCTATCATTAATTGTAAATAGCCACATAATACGTAGTATTCTAAGACTAATTTGTATGGATCTGTCGTGTTGCCAAAAAAAATATTAGTCATCGATATGTAGGGACTTTTTTGACGAAACCAATGTTAAAACAATGACATAAATTGCACGTTGTTTGTTTGTATTATCTCATATCTGTAATATATCATGAAAATAGCTACATTATACTTGGTATTTGTACGAGTAAACTTTATTGATGATTCGTGCTAGAAACTTCATGTATGACATTTTTTTGACAAAACCATTCTAACACACATCGAAATTATTTGCATACGGTCTTTGTCATTATGGTTGTTGGTTTGTGTTTTTTGGTATTATTATTTTTTTAATCTGTCATAATTTGTAAATAGCTACATACTGTTATTTTGACAAAAGAAATACTACGACAATGACAAAAATTGCACGTTATTGTTTGATTTGTTTGTTCGTATTAGCTTTTTTTCGGGTAACCTTTATTGAAAATAGCTACATTATACTAAATTATGTCGAAGACTAAACTTTAAATTGAATATTCGTCTTGCTATGAACACTGAAATATATATTACACGTAAATCGTTTAAATGTATTTAGACAAAGCAAATGCTATGATGATGACATAAATTGCACGTTCTTTTTAAATTGTAATACACTGTATATCAAATTATCATGGAAATAGCTCCATTGTGCTGTATAATTTATAAGATTCAATGTTGTTGATTTTCATTCTGTTATATATGATACATAATATACACTTCGAATATGTATTTTGGATGCATCAAATGCTATACAATGAACAAATATATATTCTGCACAGCATCTAGTCTGTATGTTTTACACATAGTCATCGCAGTCGGATGGATACAAACAAATTAATGTAAATTTCACATTTGTGGATGCTTTTAAAAATTGTACATATTGTATTGAGACATGTTTGTCAAGTTTTTGGTTTGATGGTTTTGTTTCTGCATCTATATCTATAGATTTCATGTACGCTAATAGCATGTCAATAGCTGTATTATAATATGTATGTTGATTCTTCAGGTTGCTATAAGGGGAGCCTTCCAAAGTTGCGACTGTGTCGCGACGCGTCGGGGCGCAGAGCAGGATATGAGAACAAAGGAGGCGCCTTTATGCGCCCATTAGCGCCTTTTTGCGTCGGATAGGAGAGGACTTCAGTTGGTTGCCAGCTCATTAAAATCTGGCTATTGTTTGGAGTCTCATTGTTACGAAATTACCCCGCCGGGGCGCGCCCCGGTGAAGCACTTGACATTTGTGAATGGGAGCTTAAACTTTGAATAGCTTTCGCGCCCTTTCGCGCCCGGTCCGGCGCATTAGTTATTCATGTAGTGCCCGCTTGTGTGTCGCTCTCGTCTTGCGAGATTTGACTCTGAAAAGCATTACTTTGGCTACTGATTTGTTTTAATATTATTTTACGTACATGACATTGGTTACAATGTTTGTTCTGATTGTTTATTTTCCTCTCGAAATCGGAGTTCTGTAGGCGTTAACGTTGGCATGATTGTTCATTTTTCATCTCCTCCTGTTCTGTTCATGATTGTGTTCAATATACTGTATCAATTTTAATACAAATTGATTTGTTCACGAAAAAAAACAAATTTATTTTTATACTTACCCCACTCTCTCTGACATTGTTTTCCTCGTGCATGTTTTGACACTTTAATTGTAATTTTATATTTCCTTATAGCGATGTTATCGCATGTTTTGATTTTCTTGTTTTTTTTTAAAACAATTTTTGTTGCATCTTGTAAACAGTTCTGTCGTATGATCATTATAAATCATATAATTATATCATCAGTCTGTTATTTCAATACATAGATCCTTTGAATCTTCTTAAAATTAGAGAACGTATTTTAAAATCCGTGATGTTGAAAATGATACTTAATCAAGAATGTCATAGTTTCTCCTTGAATTGGATTTAAAAAGCGTTTTATCTGTATTACGATTTTTTTAATGCAAATGATATCCGTATTGTCGGGAACATCATCAATATGTTTCGTTAGAAGGAAGACGCTCATTTTCAGAATGTTCTTTCTTTGCAAAACACTAATGTTACGAAGAAAATTAAATACACTGTACCCGTATCATCGGGGATATCGCAAAACTCCCAGGGAGATTATCAATTGCAAATCAACATAGTAAATTATGCCTAAATCGTAAGAATAGAGCATGCATTAAAAAAAAGAGAGTTACCAGGAAATGATGTTTGAAATTTCACCCCAAACATATCTCAAGAATAAATTAGTTTATCATTCTGTGTCAAAGAATTTTATCGAATATTTCTTTGCGACGAAGGGGGGGGGGGGGGGGTTACATCCGCGGCCAGTTTTAGATCTAGGTCATTGTTAAGAATAACTAAAATACGTATATATAGTGCTGAATAGGGGCCACGTGTTATCGAAAGAGCGTAGTGCGTTCTAGAACATATACAAGCCATGGCAATTGGTTGAATTGCTTCTCGTAACAGAACTGTCTCACTGTCTAAATAAGGATCCATCCGGGGGATCCATCATGCACGTGTTGGTATCAAGTAGTAAACGGAATTAATAATGATTGCGTTGTTTTGGGACATTTTTTTCGGGGGGGGGGGCAGGGTAGCCCTTATTCTTCTTCTACTGGGTCATCAAGAAACACAAATAGTGTTGAAATTTTCCGCAATCCCTTTAGCGCCGAGGGTAGAAAAGCCTTTAGAAAAGTCAGCTGGACAATAGCAATTTAATGTTGGTCAAACAATCAGCGAGAAATACTGGGCAAACAGATATTAGCCCACGTCTTCAATATAACCAGGGAATCCCGATTTAACTAAGCACATGCTCACAATATGAATATCAAATCTGGCTATTGTTTGGAGACTCATTGTTACTGTCTGGTAAAGGGGTACTTTTCACGCACCAAAGTACGGCTCGTCTAGTACACACAAATCCGGACCGTATTGACTTTACACACCGGACTTAGGGGACTGTTTTCAAAAGGAGGGAAAATGCATATGCGTACCCTACATAACACTCATCCGGGGGTGGGGGGGGGGGGGGGGGGGGGGGAGGGGTGCGCTTAAAGGCGAAGCGCTTTTTGTGAATTGTGAATTTGTGAATTTGAAAAGCTTTCGCGCCCGTTCCTACGCATTAGTTATTCATGTAATCCCCGCGTGTGTGTCCGCTCTCGTCTTGAAAGATTTGACTCTAAAATTTTCACTTTGGCTACTGATATGTTTTATTATTATTTTACGTACAAGACATTGATTTAGATTGTTGTTCTGATTGTTATTTTCCTCCCAAATATCGAAGTTGTGTAGGCGTTGACGTTGTTATGATTGTTCATTTCTGTTCATTAATGTGTTCACTACTTGTATTATATTAATGTCTTCACGAACAAAACAAAAACGATATGTATAATTGTATTCCTTCTGTATGTTTTGACACATTATTTGTTTCATATTACATTTATTTTGTTCTGTCATCCGATCAAAATAGGTCATATATCTATATCATCACTCTGTTCTTTCTCATGCAAGATCGATTTAAAGAATAGAAACGTAGGTTCTCTAAATCTTCGCAAAATCAGCTATTGTATTTAAATACCCGTGATTTAAAAATGATACTTATAATCAAAGAGATTGAAAGATTCTGCTTGAAATAAGATTATAGGGCGTTTATAAATATGTCATACAAAACAAACAAACATCTGCAAATTAAAGATATTACACAAATGATAGTCGTATTGTCGGGAGCCTGCATCATCAAAACGTTTCGGTAGATTGAACAATTCGAAATCGCCTATCTGTTCCAAACATGAAATTCGATCGAATATTTCTTCGCGAAGAAACTTTATTGGTGGTGTCATTTGTCTTAACAATTTGTTATCTTCAATGTTCGTGACGTTTTGACGTTTCATATTTGTTAGCTAGCGCTAGTAAAGTCTTTTGTTTTAACGTGCACTGTATATAGTTATAAGGCCTGAACACGTCATGTTCACATTGGGTGTTATATAGCATACGGATATTATAGTACATGTAACTTTTAAAAGCACTTTGTTTTTGCAACGCAATGACAAAAGACAGCTCTTTGAGCAGCTAATAGTTGTTGCGCCCATTGTTCCGCTCATAGGCGGCTATTCCCAATTACCGGGCATTATTTGATATTGTATCATTAGTTAAGTTTATTAATCTATTCATGTTTTCTATTTATTTATTTAGTTTTGGGGAGGGGGGATGTCGTATTACGAATTCATGACCCTTATACATAATGACCATGTTCTCAAATTACGAATAGCGGTCTTCATGAATAGTTGTCCAATGAATTAGCGGTCCTTATAACTAGCGAGCGGAGCCCTCCTGATTGACCTCTGCCATTTTGGTCCGGCCGTTCACTTCGCCGCCCCCCTCTCACACACACACACATATGTGTAGCTAAACAAGAATCTATAGCAAGTCGGACAATTATAGCGATCAAACAATAGTCGCGTGAAATCCTGCCACGGCATTCTATGTTTTTACCTTTAGAGCGAACTTTTCTTTTGTATTCGCTCCATAGAACTCTACTTTATCTTACAGCGAGGTGAAATGAAAAGAGCGTCATCATGAGTAGATCTATTGTTTGATGTTATCCTTCTTCTCCCTAGTTAAGCCAAACCTTCAATTTAGGCCTATCCATAAAAGGTAGCTTCCTGTACCGTTCGCTTTTTTTTTCCTGACTGCTATATGAAGCATGTGTATGCTCTGAATTAGGCAAACAGGGGACCGGCGGGTTTAAGATCCTCTCCGAACGAAATGTAATGTTGAGTTATGCCTTACAATAGCATATCGACTTGGTTTCTAACCAGGGAGCTCCCGGTTACGAGCTGCTCTGCTCTACCACTGGGCTATAGCGCCTCCCTCCTTTTAAAAAGATCGTTTAAAATTTGCCGGTTTTTTTTTTTTTAGAATAAGAATCAAAACATGTTTGGTATGTTTTTTGTATCTGTGCATTAAGATTTCAAAATTTCACTTTCGCCACTTAATTATAAAAATCTACGAATAAATGATTCGAATGTTGTGTCGAATGATTAATTATCATCATGAACTGATTAATGTTTTGTATTGCATTTCCAATTGCTGCTCAACTTTATCACCATCAGGCTACACTTTTTTGTTTACATCTTCATGACACACATGTTTTATAATCTCGATATAGTTCCCGGACTCTTTTTTCTATTTATTCCACTTTTAAAAAGAGCTATGGAATTATTATGATTTAAAACGCATTTTGGACGGGCAATTTTCGAAGGCATATCTCGGGCGTGAAATCCTGCCACGGCATTTTATGTTTTTTTTTTCCCTGAGGCCACTTAACAAAATATACATGTTTAGCGTCCCCGCCTGCTTCCTTTTTGGGGGCCGCCTCCTATTTTTTATTTTTGGTTAAATAATATGAAAAACACTACTAAAATGGATCTATTACTGATTTGTTTAAAAAGTTAAAAGATGTCGGCGGCCATTTTGAAAAATAGCCC